CATAACGGTTTTTTATTTTATTTTTTTGTCAGCAAATGTGTCCGAGTTTTTAGTATTTAGTTACAGTTCTGTTGGAGTTAGTTAAAATGTTTGTGACAACATTTTTTTTACGTCAATAAAGCTATTTTTTGTGAAGATAGAGTCGAATCAAAGAAGGTGGTTCATCTCTCCCGGAATTACTCTACAATAAAGGCTTTCACGTTGGATCGTCCTATTCGGGGGGTTTTTATGACGCTGCCTCCACTGAAGGGAGATGGAAGGCTTTTCATTAAGGCCAAGTGGAACGAAAGGATCGTCCCAGTGTAAGAAAGACAATTATTAAAGATTCTATCACTTACCCGTGTAGAAAAGGAGGCCATTCGGTTGTCGCGTCTTGAAATATAAGGTGATGGTGTCCTGGGCGCTAACAATGGGCTCGCCTCCCGTTTGGCTCAGATCGTACGATAAAAACTCAGTGCCGCGAAAAACGGCTTCTGATGGCGCTTTATCTGCAACAGACATTCCGACTTAATGGCCGCAATTGCCGGGAACAATCTGCTTTGCCTAGGGACTAATTGGCTTTCGGGTCCCTACCGTTCAACTTAATAAGGCATTGATTCCATGGCAAATAATAGTTAAAAAATATAAATAAATAAAATAAAAAAAACAGCATCTACACCCAGAAAACGATGGTCGATCAATGCGGGAGCACAACCAGAAAATCCCGTGAAATGCGCAAAAAAACCGCTGTTTTTACGGCTTAACTTTGCCTCAGCCCCCGAAATTGCGAGAAAACGCGCGCCTATTCGGCACGAAACCAAACTCGCCTCGTTTCGTAACATGAAATAATTTAATTTAAAATGTAAATTCTATAAAGGACGAAGCAGGGCTGCACAGTTGCCTTGGGAAATGCATTTCCATTACAACGTTTCCACTTGGCGAACGACCCACTCTTTAATCGGATACACTGATTTTTAATGCATTTCGCTTTTTATTAACATTCCTTGGCATTCTTTGGCACCAACTGTCGACTAGTAATGCAATGGTTTTTCTTCTTCGAGGTCTTATGAACTTTTCGTTGAAAGTCGTGTTCTTGCAGGCTGTTTCGATAATAAGTCGCCGACAAAATACGGCACGAACGCGATGACGGTTTATCCAGAACGAGCGTTCGTAAATCCTCCAGCAGTACTCATTAGTAAGTTTGAAGTGGAACTGGAAGTTATTATTGCAGGAAAACGAATCCAGACAGTTCAGTGGGCGGCCCATTTTACGTCCGCCTTAATTCCCCAACATCATTCGGAATTGGCTGGAATAAACCGCTGAAAATGAGTGTAGGCTTTCATGCGATTGATCCATCCAGAGCAGCGTCTTCTACTCACTATTTATTGTTATTGTTGGGAGACTGTGCCGCCGGCAAAATCAACCTAATTTAGTCAGATATTCATTAAAACTTCGCTTCCCCCCGGAGAAAATCTCCTGCTGGAAATTTGATATTCGGGTTTTCCCAACTTTTCCAGTTCGCTGTGTTGCTTTTGCTATTTATCATTTAGGTGGAGGAAAACACCCCCATCGCCAATGGTTAAAGCGATGAGCAACATGATGGATAACTGCTGAGTTTTTCAACTCGGAACAGAAAAAACGTTGATCGTGACGCTTCGCCCCAGTGGCTTGCATCTTTTGCTCGAAAGGTAACACTGTGAATCTCCAACTGTTTTGTTTGCCTGAAAACAACCCGCCCAATGCTCTAAGGGTTCGGAACAACCTACATCCACCATTCAGGCTAGTAGGCAGCAGGCAAATAATTATAAAAAAAATAATAACAGGCAATGACCAGGTGGAAAATGTTGGAAAAACTTTAAAGAAAAATTTAATTTAAACACGAAAACATTAAAAACGGGTTTTCGCCATTTTGACGGTTAATTGGAGGTTATGGCAAAAAGTGTTAAATAAAGTGTCCTGGGTAACTCAGCGAATTTTGAAGAATTGGCGCAGTACTAGCGCAATGCCTTGGTGCGTCAACTCAGCGCACCGGCGGACTAACTCGGTTCCGTTGCTGGTGACCATTTTTTAGTTGTTTTTAGATTTATGATTTAAAATATCAGAACTTTCCAGTTTTAGTCAAAAGTCACTCTTTCTTCAAATCGCTCAATTTTCTAAAGTTGCACCTAAAAAGGTTTGGTTTTGTAAAAAGTTTTAAAATCCGTTTCCCGGTTTGAATTTGGCACAAAATCTAATTTTTTTTAGCAAAAAATGAACAGAATAAGCGAAAGTGTATAATAAATGATTTGCAAAACTCGTCACCCCATTCCTCTGAAAACTGTAGAGTTTGTTAAAAAATGTGGTTTGTTAGTCTTGACTGAATTTTTTTCTTGCTTTACTGTCTACTCAAAAACGCTCTATTTTGTAGAGTTTCACTTAAAAATCCTGAAAGTGAAACTGAAAGTCTTTTACGCGAAAAATTCCAAGATTAATTTATAGCTTTGTAGATATTTTACAAAAAAGTTTTTCAGTGTCGAATTTGGAACAAAAACGGAAATAAATTTACTTATTTTTTTTCCGAAATTCCTTAAGTTTTCCTCAAAACCCGATTACAAAACTAAAAGGTTTTAATCAAAAGCTCAAAAAAACATTATTTTCTGATGCTTTTCTTCTGTCCTGACAATCATGGGATTTTTCACCCAAAAATTACAAAATTAATTTTGTTTGAAAATTCGCCTCATTTATCGCTTTGTAGGGAATTTTAGAAACCTCTTTTCAGCTTTGAATTTGGCACAAAACTAGATCATTTTATATAGTTTTTTACCGTAATATTTACACATACAATATTTACATATACGTATACATTTTATATAGTAATTAAGAATATCTTGAAAAAACGACCAGACAGCAAAGGTGACAAAAATATTTGGAAAATTCGTCTCCCTCGTCGCTCTGAAGTTTCGTTAAAATTTCAGGTTTTCCCAGTTTTAGTAGTTTTTTTACGCAATTCCGTGTACGCAAAAAACGCATTTTTTTCTAGTTTTAGTTAAAAACACTGACAATCTTTAGATATTTTCTGTCAAAAATTATAAAATCAATTTTATTGGAACAATCGCCTCCTTAACAGCTTTGTAAAAATTTGTCTACAACCTTTTGCAGCTTCGAATTTTAGACAAAACGTCAACAATGTTTTCTGGATTTTTTCCCAAAAATATTTCTCCGAAAAGAACCAGCGCAAGTTTAGATTCAATTATTTCTAAAGCTCGTCATCTTCGTCGCTGTGAATAATTTAGTTTGTTTAAAATTCTCGTTTTTTCCTAACGTTTTACTGTAAAGTCCTGGCAAGCTGAGTCTTTTATGCAAAAAAATAACGAGATCGATTTTACAAGAAAACTTGTCTTTTTAGTTTGGTCTTCTTTATCGTCTTTTTTGAATGCCTGTTTTACCTTTGAATTTAGGGCCAAACCTAAACAAAATTATCTTGTTTTTATTCGAAAAAAATATTTTTCCCAAAAGACGATCAGAGACATCATATAATCGACTCTTTGGAAAGCTCGTCATCCTCATCGCTCTGTATAATTTGCAAGTTTTTTCAAAATGTCCGGTTTTTCCCATTTTAGACCAAACATTTTCAATCAATCGTTTCTACAGAAAAGGTAACTCAGTGCATTTTTTGGAATTAACGCAGTGCTGCGCCAACCCAAGGCACCGGCGCATTAACTCAGTTCCATTGCTGGTAAAACGTTGCTCATAAAAAATGATGACTTTTTTATATGTTAAAATTCCAGCCTGGGTCATCGGTAAACGAGTTAAAACTCATTAACTCAGAGAGCGGCAACAACTCAAAAGCGCAACTCAACACAGTGTTACCCAGGCCGACTCTCAACCCACAAATCTGTTGATAGCGATGTTGTGCCGAGGATAGAAGCCCCTCGGCTTGCAAAATGTGATCATGCAGAAATTATTTATAAAGCCCCATTCTTTTGATTGATCACTATATAGTCAATAGGGGCCAGATCTGGCACTTTGGGAGGCAGCAATATCGCTCTTGCTAAAGACCCCCAATATATCGACTAGCAAACAATGAAGCTAAATTTGCTGTTTCTCTTGCTGACCTACAAACCGCTGGGTTATCGGCATCGAAAATTAAATATTTATTACTCCCCCTTTTAGTACTATAGAATATACTGATCGCAGTAATAAAGCGTATCCTAGCCGGCAGACCGTTAAACAGGCCCGAAATGGCCGAGTTTGGGCAGCATAAGAAATGCATGAAGCGATTGACACGCTATGCGCAACACTTTGAAAGTGTTGGCAAATTCCTGCAGCGCCAAGTTATGCTTCTAATTGATCCAGTGCTTTTAACGAAGGCACAAAATCCGGCACCATCTAATACCCAGCCCAGCCTGACCCGATGGGCTTTTTAATTAATTTTGTAATGTGCAGGCTGCCGCTTCCTGTCCGGTCAGCGACAGCTTCAGCGCATCGCTATCGAACCTATTAGCGCCCATTGGCTTAGCGACAATGCACAAGTTGGATGTGATTGGCAGATCATAACCCGTGCGGATATTAACACGAAATGCCAATTTCTGGATGCCATCAATCTGGCTCAAGGCGATTTTGAGCCTGGTTTGGCCGAGCCACGGTGGCCTGCAGAATGTCCAGATGTAAATCCTATGGAGTAGTTTGGTGATTGATTTTGGGGCTTGGAGATTCTCAGGGCTTTTGCAGGAGCAGACATTTTGGGGTGTTTAGATGTAGTTTGTATGATAGTCTTTTGGGCCACACACTCTCAAAAGCAAAAGTCTGTTGGCCATAAAACATCATATTGCTTTTTCGGGTTCGAAAAATTGGCGGTCGAGACCTGTGTGCATGTAAACAGGAGAATGTGCTGGCTCGAAAAGCGGCCGGGTCGACGGACCGTAAAGTTCGCTGCGAATTTATTCCTGTCGCTCAAGCGAAGGAAACGCTCCTGCTGAAAATAGGGGCTGCTCGTGCCGTTTCCCCAATAGCGACTAGTCAAACTGGCACTCACCTTTCTCGCAGAATTCGCCCTCGTAGTCCGAATTGCGACACTCGCAGATGGGGCCGCTATCGGTCGAAATGCATATGCCTCCATGTCGGCAGAGGTCCCGAACCTCGCAGGCGTCGCTGCTGTTCCCCCTTAATACCTGCAAGAAATATGTGTCCCGTTAATGCCGTTTTCCTATTTCGGTTTGAGAATTCAATTTGCTTTTTGCGGTTTCTCCCCCACGCGCTCAACGCCCTCCCGATACGGATTCATTCTTCTCCCGACAAACAACCGCCCTTTTTCCTATTTAATTGCCATACGTTTACGATTCCACTTTGTTTTCCTGGCTTTCCCTGTCTGGAAATCAATAACAGCTATAGTAAAAGTTCGGCTGCTATAATTTCTCCCAGTGTAAGTTAGGCAAATGAAGTGCCATCACATCTAAGCGAATAGAGTGGGGAGAAATGAGTAAATCCGCAATGTTTCACAACACTGTATGTACGTTTTCCCCGATTCCATTTTTCCTGTTTGGAAGGGAACCATACCACCTTTTGTGCGGATTACAGAGCTTACAGAGACTGCAACTCATAGAGTAAGTAAAATAATTTTACTTTCTCTATGCTGCAACTCTCGGCACGCTTGCAGCACGAAACGCTCGGCGCAACAACTCCATTAAACCGGACCGATATGGACCCAAAACGGTTCCGGAACCTCACTGAACCCATATTTTATTGAACACGCTGTTAAGGGCTGAACCGGACCCGAAATATTTTATTTTGGTTTTTTCAGCTACGGCTTGTAATGCTGCCTTGGACCGTAACCGGAACGGAACAGTTTCTTCGACTCGTTCCTTGCCATTAAACCCTTCTGGATCTCGAAATCTATTTGCTTATGTGTTTGTTGCGCCGAAGCCTTTAGGCTTCAGGTTGTAACGTTTCCATCCAAGCATCCTCCATATTTTTGTCGCAAGTTGTGGATTAAATGCCCAGTTCCGGACCCCGTTGTTGTCTTAAAAGCCCGCGATCGACATAAGTTCTTTTACATCGGCTTGACTTTCGCTCGCTTTGTCGATGGTGTGTCTAAAAGGTGCTTCAGTCACGAGCCACTGCTGATAAGGAACTCCATTGTTAGGGAGAAATCCGGCCTGTCGCTTCGCCCCCTTAAATGGGGGAGAGAAATGGATTCATTTAAGTTAAAAGGCAAACTATGCCTATTTAGATCTAACGCGGATATTGTTGCTTCGCAGTGTTTGGAAAACGGCTATATTTGTTCAAAAATGTCACTTATCGGACATTCGAATGCGTGGCATAGTGAAACTTTTCCTCGGGGCCGATCAATTATTTCGCGGAACGAGAGCCCTATTTAAGTAACTGGATTTATTTATACTCCAACGCTGGAAATCACACTCTATCACGCGATCTTTAATTCACAGACAAGTTATTTTGTTAACTGCTTCCAGTTCTTTGACTCCCCATTCAGCAGTAGACAAAATTGAGCCATTAGAAGCTTTCTAGAAATGCGG